GAGAGCGCGGGCATCACACCAGTGTTGGTGAGTGTTCTTGATCTTTTGTGCTTAACTATTCGGCAGAGATAGTGGCAGCCCCCGTACAATAATACGGCCTCCTCCCTGGGGTCGGTCTGAGCCCAGTGGGGCAGCCGCCCGCGAGGGAGGGGACAAGGCCACCAACACGGGGGCATGGTGAGGGGAGGGGGCAGCTAACTAAGACCACAGGAAACACAGGGCAGCTGTGGAAGAGAGTTAGGAGCTCTCTCCGATCCAGTGTGGAACGGCTGCCAAAACCTGTGCTGAAGTGGAAAGGGGTCGGGGGGGCGGAGGACAAGCTGTATGCAAGAGCAGATGAGACACGGGGACAGGCTGGGTGGCACAGGCGTGGGGGCAGGGGGACGGGCGCGTTTTCTAGAGGCGCTCCCTGGTCCTTGTTGAATTTTGTCCAACTGGAGTGCTTTAGCTATTTAGAAAAAAGAAATACAAGTTCTAAATAAATGAATAAATAATATCCACCCTGGTGAGGAGCCCTCTTTCTCAGCAAAGTGCTCAACAGCAGGGTTTACCCTACTTGGAGTGTCTGTTCGAAAGCAGGTAAGTCTGTTCCACGATATTCACTCCAAGTATTCAAGGAGCATCTGCCAAGGGCACGGGAGCTCCAAACAGACGCCCTCCAAAAGACACTGACTCCTGGAACCTGAAATCGCAGTTTGGCTAACAGATGAAGGATGTCATAAATTCAGGATATGACAAAAGCAGTTTCAAATCTTTTGGGAAGTGACGGATTATTAAGACTGAAAAGAATTGGTGTTGGGTCACTGGCTCTTTGAGGGTGGGGAAAAACATCAAGTTAGATCCCTGTTTTGTACCTACAAAAAATGGATTCCAGATGGGATTAGGAGCCAAAAGAAACAAAGTTATATAAGTACTGAAGGAAAATAGAACACAATATTTTTATGCTCTTGGGGTGGGGAAGGCCTTCCTTTTCAAGCTAGAAAGAGTCAATTACAAATCAACCCTCTGTACTATGCACGGTAACTTTTCTGAAAATCTGAAGCTATTCTGAAATGAAAAGTTTACTGAAAAAGGAAAAATAATCATTTTGTGAAACAATAAACACAAAGGTTTAAAAAAGACAATTTACAGGCTTAGGAAAAAACATGGTGCCCAAAACATATGTAATATGCAACTTACAAATCAATATAATTAAGAAGAGGGACTTCCTGGTGGTCCAGTGGTTAAGAGTCTGCCTTGCCATGCAGGGGATACAGGTTTGATCCCTGGCTGGGGAACTAAGATTCCACATGCTGCAGAGCAACTAAGCCTGACACTGCGATTATTGAGTCTTCATACCACAACTAGAGAGTCCGTGAGCTGCAACGAAAGGTGATGCAGTGAAGATCCCACACGCCTCAACTAAGACCAGATGCAGCCAAATAAATAAATACGTAAAAAAGAAGAAGAAGAAAAATTACCGGATAGAAAAATGGGTGAGTAATATCAAGAGACAATTTACACCAAAGGAAACACAGAAAAAGATTCTCAGTTTCACTGGCAACCAGGGAAATGAAAATTAGAATCACAGGATGAGACTTTTCACTTACCAGAGTAACTAAAACTTAAAAACAACACTGAGAATGAGAGTGTTAATAAGAGTGTGGAGAAACAGGCATTTTCACGTCTATTATTAATTAGTACAGCTTCTTTTTTGGAGACGAAATTTTAACTATTCATACTTCAGGATTGCAGTTTCAAAGAACTTATCCTATTGAAGTATTTGCATAGATGCACAAGCTTGCATACTGGACAAATATCATAACCAGGGAACGGCTGCGTGCACAACCAGGGAATACTATGCAGCTATGGAAAATAATGCAGTTCATCTCACACACACACACACACACACACACACTTACATTCAGGCACACCTTGGAGAAATTACAAGTTTGGTTCCAGACCACCACAATAAAGCGAATACTACAATAAATCAAGTCACATGAATTTTTTTATTTTCTAGTGCATATAAAAGTTGTACTTAAATCTACAGGAGAAAATATTTGCAAATGATGTGATTGGCAAGGGTTTAATTTCCAAAATATACACTCAGCTCCTATAATTCAATAACAAAAAACTCCCAAACAAGCCAATCGAAAAATGGGCTGAAGATCTAAATAAGACATTTCTCTGAAGAAGATATATAGATGGCCAATAGGCACATGAAAAGATAGTAAATATTGCTAATTATTGGAGAAATGCAAATCAAAACAACGAAGTATCGCTTCACACCAGTTATAATGGCCATCATTAGCAATTCTGCAAACAATAAATGTTGGAGGGGGTGTGGAGAAAATAGAACTCTCTTACACAGTTGGTGGGAATGTAAATTGGTGCAGCCACTATGGAAAACAGCATGGAGGTTCCTCAGAAAACTAAAAATAGAGTTTCCAAATGATCCACCAATTCCATTCCTGGGGATATATCCAGACAAAACTATAACTGGAAAAGATACATGCACCCTTATGTTAATGGCAGCACTATTTACAATAGCCACGACATGGAAACAATCTAAATGTCCATCAATAGATGAATAGAGAAAGAAGATATGGTCAATATATACAATGGATACTACTCAGCCATAAAAAAGAATGAAATGATGCCATTTGCAGTAACATGGATGGTCCTAGAATTACCACACTAAGTGATGTAAATCAGAAAGAGAAAGGCAAATGCCATATGATATCACTTTATGTGGAATCTAAAATATGACACAAATAAACATATCTACCAAACAAAAACAGACTCACAGACATAGAGAACAAACTTATGTTTGCCAAGTGGGAGGAAGCTGGGGGGAGGGAAGTACTGGAAATCTGGGATTAGCAGAAACAAACTGTTATATGTGGGATGGATAAACAAGGTTCTACTGTATAGCTCAGTATATATATTTAATATCTTGCGATAAACCATAATGAAAAAAAAGAAGAATATGCATAGGTATAACTGAGTCACTTTTCTGTGAAGCAGAAATTATTAGTAAACAAAACATTGCAACTCAACTATAATTCAATAAAATTTTTTCAAAAATTGTATTAATTCTGTAGTCTATTAGTGTGCAACAGCATTACGTCTGAAATAATGTACCTATCTTAATTAAAAACATTCCATTGTTAAAAAACGCCATCATCTGAGCCTTCAGAGAGTGAGTCCTAATCTTTTCACAATAGTAATATCCAAGATCATTGATCACAGACCATCATCACAAATATAATAATAAGGAAAAAGCTTGCAGTATTTCAAGAACTACCAAAATGTGACACAGAGACATGAAGTGAGCAGATACTGTTGGGGAATGACACTGACCGACTCGCTCAATGCAGGGTCGCCACAAAGCTTCACTTGGAAAAAATGGAGTATTTGTGAAGTGCAATCAAATGAGGTCTGCCAGCATATAGACACACTTACATACATGTAAGTAAATACACATACATGTCAAAGTGAAAACAACAAACACAAACCACATGGCCTGGGCTGGAGCACAAGGGGCCCTGGAGGCCAGGCTCAGCCCTCTGCACTTCTCAGTGCAGGCGATGGGGAGCAAGGCCAAGCAGAGCCATGACAATCAGGTGCAGCCGCAGAGCAGACAGGCTGCGAAGGAGGAGCTGGGACTGTCTGTGAAAGCTTCGGCTCTCCCTGGAGGGGATCCAGGACAGCCTGGTTGGAAGGTGGGAAGAGGTGTCATTCTAGGTGGTGATGGTTGTTCTTTAGTTGCTGAGTTGTGTCTGACTCTTCGCCACCCCATGGACTGTAGCCTGCCAGGCTCCTCTGGCCGTGGGTTCTCTAGGCAAGAATACTGGAGTGGGTTGCCATTTCCTGCTCCAGGGCTTCTCGACCCAGGGATCAAACCCAGGTCTCCTGCACTGGCAGGCAGATTCTTTACCACCATGCCGCCAGGGAAGTGCCATTCTAGGCAGGAGCAGCTGCAACAGACCTAGAGAGGAGAGGAGGGGACATGGGGAGAGGCCTGCACAGGGCAGCGAGAGGGACTCCCTGGGCTGTGCCCTCAAGTGGGAGAAGGAAGGAGGGGAGAAGGGAGCCTGGAGTGGGTACAGAAAATTGGTTCTTATCTCCCTGCAGGCTGTTTGTTTGGCACATTCATTCACTCAAGAAGAATTTACAAAGTGCCAACAGTGTGCCAGGCTCTGTTCTGGATGAGGGGTGATATGACAGTGAGCCCAGTAAGGGGCCTGCTCACTGGAGGGGATGAGGACGAGAGGCAGCCACGAACAAGGAGCAAGCAGGACCTCCCCAGTGGTCCAGGGAGGAATTCGCCTGCCAGTGCAGGGGACAGGGGTTTGATCCCTGGTCTGGGAAGATCCCACATGCCTCAGGGCAAATATGTCCACGCGCCGCAACTACTGAGCCTTCGGGCTGCAACTGCTGATGGCTGAGCCCCTAGAGCCTGTGCTCTGCAACGAGAGAAGCCACCACAAGGAGAAGCCCGCTCACCGCATCTAGAGAAAGCCCTCACTCAGCAAGGAAGACCCAGCGGAGCCACAAGTTAAATTTTTAAAAAAGGGAGACAAATGTAAAGAAATTTCTGGCCGAGATCAGTGCTGCGCAGAAAATAGAATGATGAACGGAGAGTTTGAGAGGGAGGCGTCAAGGGGATTGATGAGGGGACACTGTGCAGCTGATGTCTGAATGGCGAGGGGGAACCCTACCTCCACGAGGACTGGGGAGGGAGCAGTCTGGAAGGCGGGTGGGGGTGCTGCTGAGTCTGAGGCTAATTGCACAAGGCAATTGTTTTGCTAATAAGACCGTGTTAAGAAAATGAGGCTTTTTTTCCCATTTGGTAATGAAGTCATTAGTGAGTTGTATTTTTAGTTCTTGCTCCTGGGTTTTTGACATTGGGCTCGAGGGGGAGGTCTTGGGGACTTCCCCCACACCCCACAGGGTGTCACGGGGGTGGGGATGAGCCTCAGAGGGAGGGGAGATGGAGGTGGAGCAGTACCCACCTGCTCCGGGGGGTTACGTCCAGGAAGAGCTGCACGAGTGCCAGCAGGTTGTGGTGGTGATCAGACACTCGACTCAGGGCACAGCACAGCTGCCGGAGCTGCGGGGTGAGAGGGCGTCCAGGTGGGCTTTCCAGAGGCAGGCGCCTCCTACCCTGACCCCCCCCCCCAACCCCCGCCAGCCCACTCAGCAGGGAGGCCTGGAGAGCAGAGCGGGGGTCACAGAGGCCAGGTCGGGGAGGACCGCCAGAGCAGCATGGTCCCTGCTGGGGGCCTCACAGGTGAGGCTGGGGCTTGGGCTTTGACTCAGGGGCCCACAGCACCTTTCCTGGCCACTCGCGGATGTTCTCCAGGAGCTGCAGCAGGAGCTGCTGGAGGTCGGTCCTGGGCAGCAGGCGGAGTCTGGTGTCCAGGCCAGCACGGCATAGCAGCTCAATCAGGTCCAGAAGGTTCTGGTCGGTGTAGGCCCCTGGCTGGGCCAGTGCACACAGTGTCAGGAACTGGAGAGGAGAGAGCGCGAGGGCGGGGGTGCCTCCCTGGGACTGTGAGCCCCCAACTGTGCTGGGAAGGAGCTGAGAAAAGCAACAAGGCCTGAAGTCGAACCCCCGGGGTCGTCGGGGCAGGCACAGGCGTGGAGGGAGCCAGCTTCTGTAGCATCGATCCTGGCAGTCAGCAAAGTGCCTGTGACGGTGCCCAGTGGGAGCCACTGAATTTGATGCTGAGTGGGTCTGGGTGGGACTCACCTTACAGATGTAGTTCAGGCTGCTGTCCAAGGCCATCTCCTGGAGGGTGTCCTGCTGTTCACTGCGGCTCAGGCTGGCCTCGCTAGGGTGAGACAAAAACAAAGGAAGGGAAGCAGTCAGAGGCAGGCACAAGGGAAGAAGTGAGGCAGAGGGGGAGGCCGTGCCGCTGGAGAAGAGAGTTCTCCGATGATCCATTCAACCCAGGGCCCCGGTGCCCTGTGTGCGCGGGTCTTTCACTTGTCCAGTCGCTCAGTCATGTCCAACTCTTGTGACCCCAAGGACTGTAGCACGCCAGGCCTCCCTGTCCATCACCAGCTCCCAGAGTTTACCCAAACTCATGTCCATTGAATCGGTGATGCCATCCAACGATCTCATCCTCTGTTGTCCCCTTCTCCTCCTGCCCTCAATCTTTCCCAGTATCAGGGTCTTTTCCAATGAGTCAGCTCTTCGCATCAGGTGGCCAAAGTGTTGGGAGTTTCAGCTTCAGCATCAGTCCTTCCAATGAATATTCAGGACTGTTTTCCTTTAGGATGGACTGGCTGGGTCTCCATGCTGTTCAAGGGACTCTCATGAGTCTTCTCCAACACCACAGTTCAAAAACATCAATTCTTTGACACTCAGCTTTCTTTATAGTCCAACTATCACATCCATACATGACTATCGGAAAAACCACAGCTTTGACTATATGGATCTTTGTTGGCAAAGTGATATCTTTGCTTTTTAATATGCTGCCTAGGTTTGTCATAGCTTTCCTTCCAAGGAGCAAGAGTCTTTTAATTTTGTGGCTGTAGTTACCGTCTGCAATGATTTTAAAGCCCAAGACAATAAAATGTCACTGTCATGAACACAATGAAAAGGTCATCCACTGCTATGTAACAAATTACTCCCCCCAAATGGAGAGGCTTAAAAACAACCAATACATATTATCCTGTGCAGTTTCAGAGGATCAGGAATCCAGAAGCAGCTTAGCCAGGGGGCTCTAACTAAGGGTCTCTGGGGAGGCTGCCCCCAAGGCTTTCGTGGGGGGGGGGTGCCTGCTGTCAGCATAGACTTGACTGGCCTGGAGGAACTGCTTCTCAGGTCACTTGGGGGTCACCGGCCTCAGTCCTTCCATGGAGCTTCACCCCAGGGTTCCCTAACTTGCCCCGACTTTCTCTAAAGTGAGTGAGCTGAGAGAGAGGAGATGCCCACCTAAGACAGAGGCTTAGAAGCTAACCTTGGAGGTGACATTGCCTCTGTGGTCTCCCCTGGCCACGTGGGCCAGTCTGACTCCGGGTGGGAGACAGCTGCACAAGGGGGTGAACATCAGCTCGTGGAGTCACCGGTGCCTCTCAGGGGCTGGCATCCCAGCACTGTCACTCCAGGAGGGCCCCCAGCTTTAGTTTTCTGGGGCTTGGAAGCCTGAAGAATCATACTCCAATGCTTCCTGCAAACTCTTCCTCAAAAGCATTGTTTGGAGTTTCCTTGGTGGTCCAGCGGTTAAGAATCTGCCTTGCAATGGAGGGAACAAGGGTTCAATCCCTGGTCTGGGAAAATCCCACATGCTGCAGAGCAATTAGGCACCACGACTACTGAAGCCTGTGCCCAGAGCCTGAGCTCCCCAACAATGAGAAGCCTGCACACTGTAACTACAGAGTAGCCCCCACTCGCCACGACTAGAGAAACCCTGCTGGCAGCAACAAAGACTCAGTGCAGCTAAAAACATAAACAAAAATAAATACATAAGTAAATAAAGAAAATTCACTTAAAAGCGTTCTTTGTCCACACAGGTGTGGTGAGTCTGTGCATACACGGAAAAGCACACTCCGTTGTAGCTTATGTCAGGTTACCTTCCAAAGTCTGCAAGTAAGGTGAAATTAGACTGAAAGAGATCTTCAATAACCCCTCCAAAGGTGTTCCACTACTATGCTGTCCACAGACAAGCCTGGCATGGCCAGATTCCTCTTAGCAAACAGCCTGGATGAAGCCAGAGGCCAGGGTCACATTTAAAACACCCTCTTTAAAGACCAGAGTCACACACAGTTTGGCGAGAGCCCTACAGGGAGGGAGCTGCTGGCAGCACAGCAGACTCACATCACCCTCTGCACAGGCATGCCAGGCACAAGCTCCCCGGGTGACACGCCGAGCTGGGGTGTCCTTACTAAACGATGCTCTTTCTCTGGCCACGTGTATATTGTTGGCATCAAATAAGTGAGGTGGCTTTTCAAAAATTAATTTGCTATTTATTTTTGGCTGTGCCGGGTCTTCCTTGCAGGGCGTGGGCTTCTCATTGCGGTGATTTCTCTCATGCAGAGCACAGGCTCGTGGCACAGGCTTCAATAGGTGCAGTACACAGGCTCCAGAGCACCGGCCCAGTAGTTGCGGTACACTGGCTCAGCTGCCCCATGGCATGCGGAATCTTGCTGGACCAGGGATTGAACCCATGTCCCCTGCATTGGCAGGCAGATTCCTAAACACTGGACCACCAGGGAAATCCAAGTAGGATGACTTTATGACAAGTCTCCCTTTGCTGTCTCTTCCACTCCTGTAGTCTTACTAACTAGCTTGGAGTTCCTGTTAACAAGGGACTCCTTACAAATGATGTCATCAGTGATGACGACAACACTGCCGACAGTAACAGCCTCTGGGGTCGCCGCCCTGGCCACGGTTCCCAGATGCTCCAGTGAACAGGCTCTGCTCTTCTTTACTTGTCTATGCTGCTTCTCGGAGAGGGAAGAAAAATGCCGTCTCTAGGCACCCAGGAAGTCGGTGTCAAAAATCACTGCTGGAGTGGAGGGGTGGGGCGAGGCCTAGATAGGCCTGGGCTGGGCCATTCTCCAGGCCACTCTTCCTCAGCATTTGTGAGTTCAGAGAACACGAACAGACGGGGGAGACTGGGGCTCACGCACTGGGCCTGTGTCAGAGTCGCAGGGGAGTCCTGGCTTATACCTGTCCGTAAGCCTGCGTGGAGCCGTGCGAGCATGGGAGGGAACGCTTTTAGATTGCCCGAAGAGGCAGGAAGCCTCAGAGCCAGCTTTGTGACTCTGCCCAAGTGGAGGGGGCTCTCAGACAGCTCCGTGCTGCCAGGGGGAGAAAGAGGGCAGAAATTGTGGGCTGGTGACTCATCTTCTCGGAGCTGGGGAGGGGAAGTGTGTCTGTGACAAGGGTCTCTCCTCCTGGGGATGGACAGAATGCCAGGCTTTCCAAGTGGGAAGGACACATAGCCTCCCCGCTACCCACACCCCCCCCAACCCGCCCCCGCTGCACTGCGCCCCATGTCTCCCCAGGCTGCCTCTGCTGGGAACAGCCAGCAGGCAACATAACGGGTTCCCCTTCCCTGCCTGCCTCTCTGAGGAGCCGCTCGCCTGGAACGCGGCATCTGAGACTGCTGTTCTGGGAAGTGGCATCGGCTGATCCCTAGGCCTCTGCCGCGGAGAAGAGGAATTCACAGTCTAAGGAGCCCACTCTTCTCCTGGACTCAGCAGGTTGGAATCGAGTTGAGGGTCCCACCACCAGCCCCACCAGCAAAGCAGCTTTCCCTACCCCCACCCCCAGCCTTGACACCGGCCTGGCAGAGTTAGGGTTCCTGGCCTGTGGCCAGCACCCAGGAGCTAGAGTTTGGGTTGCAAAGGTATTGTTCTCCACTCTTAAGAGAAGCGTGTCGGCTTCTATATTTGTTTTCCCCTATTACTATTTGAGAAAAAAAAAAAATAAAGTGAAAGTGACCCTCTGCTCCTTCTCCTTGGGAAGACGGTAAAACCGAGAGTCTAGCTGGGGGTCAGGGGCCCACCACACAGCCTGTGGGCAAGGCGCGCTCCCGGGCTGGCACTGCTAAACCAGACCAGAGCTGTCAGCTGGGCTCTAGTGACCGAGGTCAAGGCAATGAAGAGGAATCGATGCTGAGCTAATGGGGGGCGGCGGGGAGGGGAGCAACTTTTACCTGGATCCAATTACTCTGTCTCAAGGCAACCACCCCCACACTTGACAGGATGCCCTTTCAATGGATTGATTGTCATTTATTTAGCCCACTGGCCTCTGCACCAGGCTTCCCTCTCAGAGAACCCAGTGGATGAAGGCTATCAGCCCCCGGCAACAGCAGCGGGCTGCTGGTCTTCAGGGGCTGGACCTGTGATCTGGGGCTTCCCAGGTGGCGCAGTGGTAAAGCATCTGCCTGCCAGTGCAGGAGACACAAGAGCTGGGAGTTCGATCCCTGGGTCAGGAAGATCCCCTCGAGTTGGAAATGGCAACCTACTCCAGTGTTCTTGCCTGGACAGTTCCATGGACAAAGAAGCCTGGTAGGCTACAGTCCAGGGGGTCACAAAAGGGTTGGACACAACTAAGCGTGCACACACACCTATGACCTGACCAGGGCTCTTCCTCTGGGCTTTGCAGTCAGGGAGCAGCCCAGGAGGACCAGCCACTGCTCCCTCTCTTTCCAGGTGAGACCGAGGACACCTGATGAAAAGTCTGTATGGCTGAGTGTGGCACTGGTCCCCTCTGAGGATGCTCAGGCGCTCATCTGCTTCCCGTCCAGCGTTCACACTCTGGTTCCTCCTCTGCTGGCTGTCTCCCTCCCCAGGCTCATCACAGGGCAGAGGGCAACTCTATCTGCAATAAAGCAGACATCAGATGATGCACGTGGTCTGGCAGCAGCAGGGTTGTTTCCTTCTGGAAGAAAATCTTGAAGCATTCGATGAGATGGTGATGAGTTTCAAGGAAATCTGAGATTAGGAACAGCCGGTGAGAGACCCGTCTTTCTTGTAGAGACTGGAGAGATGGCCCAGCCGTGGGCCCACATGTGCCCTCATTTCCAGTCTCGGCCATGACAGCGTGTGGGTGCCTCAGAGGAGCCCTGGATGGGGACATCCCTGGAGGTCAACAGAGAGGCACCTGGTGCGGAACCAACGGACATGGGATGAGCCTCTGAGGACGAGGACGATGCAGAGAGGAGCGCCTTTCCTGAAGATGCTCTTGTGGCCCATGGAGTTGTGAAGGATGCCACAGCCTTGGTGGAGGAGATGCCAGAACTTTCTTGATGTTCCCTGAGTGCTCTAGAAGAGTCTTCCAACCCTGAGACACCCCGAGTTTCCCAAACACAGAAGCAAGCCAGCACTTCACCATCCCCCACCCCAGGGAAGTCACCTGAGTGGTCTCTCCTGGACCTGTTTGCCTCTTGAAAGGAGGAATAGTCCCCAAAGAACACCTCTAGGCTGAGTGGCTTGGCAGGTGGTCCCAGCCCCTCTTATAGAGCTGCAATGTGTACAGGGGCAGTCTTAAAGGGGCAAGCCACTGGCCAGATGCTCTGGGCCAGTTTTGAGTCCTCAGTGGAGAGCGTGTGCCAGCAGCCATCCCAAGATGGGGGGCCCAAGGAAAGGGGCAGGGGTGTCAGAACAGCTGTCTGGGGCTGCGGCACTCTGGGCCTTGCCCTAGGACCACAGGGCCCTGCCTTGCTCCCACAGGGTGCTGAGAAGCTGGAAGCCTTCGTGCTGGGGTTTCGCTCTCAAGTATTTGTGCTAGCGTGCTCAGCTGCTCAGCTGTGTCCGATTCTTTCCGACCCCACAGACTGTAGCCCACCAGGCTCCTCTGTCCATGGGATTCTCCAGGCAAGAATACTGAAACAGATTGCCCTTTCCTCCTCCAGGGGATCTTTCCAACCCAGGGATGGAACTCAGGTCTCCTGAGTCTCCTGCATTGCAGGCAGAGGCTTTATCGCTCAAGTGAGCCATCCTGAAGTATGTGAAATGATGCATTGAAATGGCCACACTTCCACAGATCACCTGGCCCTGGGGGAAGGGGGAGGTTAGGGGGCATGGCTCTTTGCAGAGTAAACAAGGAGGTTAAGAGCCTCTAGGGCCACCTCGCACTTTCCAAGCGGACACCAGGTGTGTACCCCTTTCCAAGTGGTCGGAAATAGCTCCTCTGAATCCTCAGGCCCTCCAGGCCCTCCCCTTCATGGATATTTGTTTTTTCTGAGTGTAATTCTCTGCCTGATTTCCTCCTAGAAGGTGATTCAATTGAAGCTCCGCGTTGGGGAAGAGGCAAGTAACTTATTACACCTGGTACGAACGCGGGGGGTAGGGGGGAGGAGCAGGCGCAGGACAGGCTGGCACAAGCACAGGGTATTTATAGCAGAGCGAGGGCGGTTTGGTCTGGTTTGGCTTGGCAGACAATTACCAAACACAGTGGTGCAACAGGTTCTTGAGAAAGCTCTGGCCGTGCCCTAGAGGCTCGTCCGCCCACCACAGGGGGCCCCAGGGCTAGTTGGCAGGAGGGAGGGGGCTCAGCCTGTCCAGGGTCCTAGTGCATGCGTGTGTGCTAAGTTGCTTCATCAGTGTCCAACTCTCTGCAACCCTATGGACTGCAGCCCGCCAGGCTCCTCTGTCCATGAGATTCTCCAGGCAGAAATAGAATACTGGAGCGGGTTGCCATGCCCTCCTCCAGAGGATCTTCCTGACCCAGGGATCGAACTAGCAACTCCTATGTCTGCTGCATTGACAGGTGGGTTCTTCACCACTAGCACCACCTGGGAAGCCCCCTAAACAGTCAAGTCTCAAACCTACTGCTCAGAGAAGTCTCAACAAAAAGCTTGGATGGCGCTGTAACGGATGCCTTTACAACCCAGATCTAGTGCGCCATCCATCCAACAAGAGTCATTTATGTACTGTACCAGTTAGCGTCACTGTCCCACCCACCCCGAACCCAGTGCACAATGGGGGCTCCAACACCACAGAATGGGGCATTGTAGACTTTCCACGTAAAACTGTGCCTGGCTGGCCATGAGCTGATATTAGGTAATCAGGAGGGGCTTGGAGACAGACCAAAGGGACTGGGACACGTCTTGGAAGAGGAGGGGCAGCAAGAGCTGTGAGTCAGGAAGGGGAAGGAGCAAATGCCAGCCACCAGGGCAGTAAGACCTGGCTGTGCCTGGTTCTTCCCATCGCTGCCCTGAGCTGCGAGCACGGGGACTCACACGCCGATCACCCGTGGTATGACGCACTGTGGCCCCGCAAACTCTGTGCTTCCCTCTTTGGGCTGGAGTCTGGAGTCTGCAGCCAACAGTCTGGTGACTTTTTAACTTAAAAAAAAAAATGCACATAATTTCCAGATTTCAGAAGAAATCTCTCCATTCTCTAACTAGTGAAATGCTCATTGAGCCCCGGCTATCACCAACAATGATGTCAATGGAGCTCTGCAGAGTGACCGGTCAGGTGTACTACATTTACGAAAGAGGAAATACTTTAGTGTTTCCAGGCAAGAATATGTGGGCTTCCCAGGGGGCGCAGTGGTAAAGAATCCACCTGCCAGTGCAACAGACACGGTTCAATCCCTGGGTCGGGAAGATCCCTGGAGAAGGAAATGGCAGCCCACTCCAGTATTCTTGCCTGGAGAATCCCATGGACAGAGAAGCCTGGCGGGCTACAGTCCGTGGGGTTGCAAAAGAGTAGGACACGACTGAGCATCAGGCACATGAATGTATTCAGTTGGCTGATAAGTTCATTCAGGTTTTTCCGTAAGATGTAACACAAAAACCCCAATGTTTTGCCCAACCCAGTATGTTTAGAAGAGTCTGCTTTTTGGGTTACATATATACATATTTTTTTTTACATTTTTCCTGAGGTGTAATTGGTACTGCACATGTTTAATGGACACGATTCGATAGGTTTGAACTGCTTTCAGCGGCCGTGGCCATGTGAGGAAGGGTGCCACGGTGGGGAGTACTCACCTCCCAGCGTGCTGCGTGGGCCCCAGGGGCTGCAGAGCAGGGCTCTGGGCTCCGAGGCTGCGGAACGTGGCCGAGATCTCTTGCAGCGAGGGGCACCACAGGCTCGTGTCCCCACCTGTCAGAGCAGAGAAGGCGGGGGTCAGGGGGCAGAACAGGGCGGGCCACGCTCCTGGGTGGCACAGGTGTTTCCTGGAGGGTGAAGCCTCCAGTGGTTGCAGACACTTGCGGGTGCTCTGGGAACCTGGACACTCATTCTCCCATCTTCAAGCTATGGCCACCTTGACATGTGGGCCTGGGGAAGACAGGCCCTCACCAGCTCCATCAGCTGCCCTGAGCTGAGCCAGGTGCTGAGTCCCCAACCAGAGGTCTCCAAACCACAAGACAGGAGACACAAGGCTCCCCAGCCCTGCACTCTCCACCACTGGAGTGTTCAGCTTGGCACCTACTATGGACTCTCAGTAGCATCCTTGGGGCAATGTCTGGGCATTGCCAGGTGCACTGATCCTGCGGGAGGGCCTTCCCACAGTCCTGGAGGCATTTTCTCAGCAAGCTCGAGCTTTGAGGACCATTCTCTCTTAACAGGACAGGAGCAATCATCTGACCTCCTCAACAAAGGGGAAAAACCTTACGACTGGAGAGCCTTTCCTCCTTCAACTTAAGGATATTTTCCGAACTAGGAGAATAGAGAAGCAAAAGATGGAATCTGTTTCCTGGCTCCCGCGCTGGCCCCTCGCTCTCCCTCCTCCACATGATCTTATTTGCAGATCTGCTTGCCGCTTGTCTGTGTCTCCCTGTTAGAATGTACATTCCACGAAGACAGGGGCCAGGTCCCTGCCATTCCTCCCTGCAGACTCAGGGTGGCTGGCGTGTGGAGGAAACGGGATGGATGGAGGGATGGATAGACAATGGAGTGAATGACTGCATCCTACATAAACCTGACCAAGTGGCAGATGACTAAGAGGGAAACTGGTGACAAGTCACAGGACAGGCTGGCAGCGTTAAGAGAACACAAACAAAAGGTCCGATGGAGGGTGAGCTGCAGGAATCCAGAACCAAGAGCAGTGCCAGCTTGAACCTTCACCATTCTGGAGGGCGAGCCTCCCCTCCCATGGGCACCCCTTGATGGACCCCACCATGTGTAGGAACCACGCTAGCTGCCAAAGACTAAAAGGTGACCCAGTAGACCCCTTGACCTCAGGGAGCTTATGGTCTAGGAGGTGGAGAAGCCAGGTGGATACATCAATACAGCAGAGTATGTTGCCATAAAACCCAGAGCTGGTGAAAGGTGGGGAACCCGCTCAGGCGAGAGAGACTTAACTGGGGGCTGCGGCAGGGGGCAGACAGCACAGGCAATAGGAAACAAAGCCCATGCCTAGCCAAGGGACGGAAGTGGCAGAGAGCAAGAAAGAGCATGGCGCGTCTAGCCAGAAACAGGGCACTGAGACGTCTTGGCCACAGTCCTGTGTGGCGGCCGGCTGAGGGTCTGGGTCCCAGCCAGGGACGTGTCTTCGGGGATGGTGGCATTGAGTGTCTCTCTCTGGAAACGTATATCGGTTGAGGCTCACCCAATAGGTAATGAGACTCTGGGAGGAGGAAAAACGTTCTTGTTTTTTTTTCCTCTTGGGCAACTTAACAAGTCAGAGAACGGTAATAATACCCCTTGCCTGAGTTGCAAACAAGCTGGGAAGAATGAAGGCTGCAAAACACAATGAAAGAGGGCTGTTAGCCCGAGCTGGGGAAGTGGGTGGGAGGGGGGACTGTGTGGGAGGCTGGTGACCTAGCCAGGGACGGGAGGACCCGGTTGATTGAGGGCGAGGACCCAGGGAGGCCCGGCTGGGCGGCGACATCCTGCCCCTACAGCCTCCAAGCCCCCTCCTCATGGTGGCCCCTGCAGGTGCCTCTGCTCCTGTAAAGCCCTTGACAGCATCGCAGACCCCGCTGGCCTGGGGCCCAGTCAGGCCTCACCCTTTTCCTTGTGCCTGCCCAGCCATTTACTGCACACCCCCACTCCCCCAGGGCTGAGGGGCCAGGAGAAGTTCCAGAGAAAGGGGTCTGGGTGGCCCCGGGATAAACCAGTCCCCGTCAAACTGACAGCCCAGGAAGCTGCTTAAGTGACAACAGGCCCCCAGGAGCCCGTAATTAACGCTGCCTGTAAGTAGGCCAGGCACTCAGCTTCTCCCAAGCACTGTGCGTCCCCAGTGAGGATTTTCTGGAGAGCTGACACAGAAGAAAAGTCTCGAGAACTCGATTTCTGTACGCCCACGGCGCGGTCATCTGAGGTGATCCCCCGGGGGAGCACCGGGGCCCTCGGCTGATTCCAATGCCAGCCCCAACAGCCAGCGCATCTGGGCTCGGTTGAGAGGCTGAGTCTGAAAGCTCTCCTGGGACGGAGCGGAGGCTTGGAGAGGGGGGGGGTGTGGGGGCGGGGGCGGAGAAAAGAGGCACAGGCCGGAAATAAGAGCGACTTTTCCATCTGCGCCTCAGAAGCCTCTTGACTTCACGTAGCCACTCTTCTTCTGGCTCCGTGGGGAAACCACGCACACCCCCGCAAGCCCCTCAGTCCTCCGAGTTCCAGCCCCTCTGCCATGGCTTCCTAAAAAAAGTTATTTAGTCAACAAACAGTAAGAGAACAGAGGTGACGGAAGTTCTGGTCTCATGGAGCTGAAGGTTTGGTGAGGAAACAGACCGTGTGGTGGAAGCTAAACAAGCTGCACCAGGAGGTGTAAATGGCATGTAAGGAAGGGGAGGGGGTCAGCGTGGTGCAGAGTGATGTAACGGTCGGGAGGAAGAGCCCTGCAGAAGCCTGGGTCCAGCCAGGAGCCTGTGGGGCTGGAGCTGGTGCCAAGCCCGGGGGTGCGTCAGGGTTAGGGCGAAGTGGGGACGGGGAGACATGGGAGGGGAGGGGACGGGCCTGTCCCCTGGGTTCCAGGGCAAGGGGGATGTTATCAGAGGAATCTGCCACATACGTGGTAGAAACACAAAATCCCATCAAGTCCATGTTCCAAAAACATGAGCATTTCATTGCCCTCAGGGCTCACCCCAGAGGACCACGCCCCAGGGCCTCGAGGAACCCATCCTGACCCAGGCCACTCACTGCTGCTGTTCCGGCTCTCACACCTGTCTCCCTCCAGACCTGCGCTGCTCGGGTCTCCTTCCTGCTCCTCCTCGGTTCCGCAACCCTCACTGCCGGCCCCGTCACTCTCCCTCTTCTCACCGCGCCCCTGGGGCTCAGGCCCTCTCCCCCCACGGCCTCCCTGCACGTAACACAGCCTGCACCCGCCCTCCACACACACACCCCCATCCATCCACTCAGCGCACACCACACACACATATCCCCACCACACACACACACACCACTCACACACCCCCACCACACACACACACACACACCCCCATCCACTCAGCACACACTGCACACACACACACACCACCCACTCACACCCCCACCCCACCACATACACATACACCCATCCACCCACTCACCACACCACTCACACATCTCCACACACATGTATGCACACCACTTATTCACACACACAGGGCTCATACATCTCCACACACATGTACTCCCATCTGTTCACGTATCACACATACACATCCCCCCCACACACACACCACACCACTCACACATCTCCGCACACATGCACACATACCACTTATTCACACACACACACAGGGGCTCGGTCAGCTCCTGGTCCATTGATCCATAAGCTGAGGGTGTGTGTGGGGCGCGTGAGGCCATCCCCAGGCCACCTCTCCTCCCTGCTGCCCTCTGTAACTCACACCACTGTTGCCATCTTGTAACACTACCGAGAGCCTTCCAGGCCCATGTGTAGGACAGACCTGCTCTGTGCCAAACCACCGAACCCCTGGTATCTGCTAGAATTAGGTTCAGCTGCAAGTAACAAAGAGCTCCAAAACAAAACAAAAAACCCACCTGGGCTTAACAAACTGGAGTTTCACTACTTTCTGGTGTAAGGGAAGTCTGGAGGTGGGTGGGCCACAGTGTGCGGGGACTGACTGATGTGTGGGGTCTTCAGTGGCTTTGCTGCTCTGTTGTACTCCACAGGTGCCTCTTCTAGGGACCACTTGGTGGCCCAGGATGGCTGCCAGAGGCCAGCCATTGCATCTCACCTCCAGGCAACCACTTCCTCCCTTCGCCACTTCAGTATGCATCCCTGCGTTGTCTGTGAGGATGCCAGGCCCCCTCAGTGTGAATCAGGAAGGCAGCTGCAAACTGCCCTCAAGTTTCAAAAGCAAGAATTTGAGACAGATTCAGACTCAAACAAAGAGCTTCCCAGTAACATCCCTGAACGCAAGGCTGACCAGTTCTCTCTACCTTTGGATTCCTGAACCTGCTATTTTGGGAATGGTCCTGAGGTCTACAATGAAATGAAGAAGACACCAAATGCTCCTGAGTATATGGAGCAACAGGAACTCCCAGTCACTCACGACGGGAACACAAGATGGTATGACCGATTTGGAGGACAGCCTGACAAGTTTCTTACAAAACGAAACATACTCTTACCATACCACTCAGCAACCACACTGCTTGCTATTTAGCCAGATGAATTCAGAAACTGCACATGAATAAAGCTGCAGCTTTATTCCTAACTGTCAAAAGCTATGACACACCAAAGCCACCAAAATGTCCTTCAATAGGCAAATAAACTACATCCAGAAAATGGAAACCCATTGAGCAATAAAAAAATAAACAATCAAGCCATGAAAAGACATGGAAAAATGTCCAATGGATATTGCTACAAGAAAGAAGCCAGTCTGAAAAGGATACATACTGTATGATTCCAACTATATGATATTCTGCAAAAGGCAAACTATAGAGATGGTAAAAAGATCAGGGGTTATCAGGGGTAGGGAGGGAGGGAGGAGCACAGAGGATTTTTAGATTGGAACTAATCTATCTGATGGGTCTTCCCCAGTGGTGCTAGTGGTAAAGAACCCACCTGCCAACGCAGGAGACATGGGCTTGATCGCTGGGACAGGATGATCCCTTGGAAGAGGATATGGCAGCCCATTCCAGTATTCTTGCCTGTAGAATTCCAGGGACAGAGGATCCTGGTGGGCTGGAGCACATAAGGTTGCACAGAGTCAGAC